AGAGAGAAGAGAGCTGCGTATCTGACAGAGCTGCGTTCGTAGATCCCTTAACCACAGAGATCCTCCCTGCCCTCAGGATCCCCATCATAGGCACACTCTGTACGCTGCCCTTTGCAGGCCTGAACGCAATTATAACAGAACAGCTGTTTTTGGGAACAACATCCCTCTCCTATTAGATTGGAAGATCCATAAAGGCAGCGGGCCTTTTGTCCACTGCTCTATCTCCCATGCTTGTGGGTGGCACTCCTCACACATCCGCTGCATGACAGGAATAACAGATGGAAGGAGGAGAAGGATGGGGAGGACAAGAGAAGAAAGGAGAGGAGGGCAGCCAACGGGCTGCCAGCTACCCAAGTCCAAGGTCCACGTGCTCTGCAGCAGGCACCTACAGCAGCCCGCATGTGGCTGGTGTGCCTGCTGCATACCCGGGGCATGAGCTCACCTATAGGAGTCCCCATCTCTGTTGTAGTCACACAAAAGGTAATCCTTTCCCACCACCTTGTCTCTGGCAATTTTCAGTGGCTGGTCAACAGAAGACAGGAGATCCTCACATAGACTGGGGACCTGGCAGAGAGAAAGGACAAGGTCGAAACAGAGGTTAAAATAGCACACCAAACTCAGGTGGCTAACAATACTGCAGCTATATCATGGTCAGTACCTTTAACATCTGGCCCTGGGTACTGAGCCAAAATTATGGGCCTGTTCTTTTCTTTTCCACATGTGTCTGACACCAACTGTGTCCCTCTATTAAGAAACCCGTTCTTGAATTACAGCGGAGCGTGATTTCCAATACGGTCTTCCTTCCAAAAACTGTGTGCAGCTTTAACGACCTGGTCACCAGGGTGGCCTAGTAAATTTCAGTGTGTATGTGCTTGGTATTGGTCTCTGGTGGGCAAAGTACAAGCTCAAGTCCCGAGAAGAAGGTCAACATTTCAAATACACAGGAATCTAAAGAACTCGGAGTAGAATAACTCGTCCGTGCCGGGGAACTCCCACAGGCTCCCATGCTGGGTGGAGTCTCCAATACTTTCCAGGCCCCTAGCCAAGTGTTACCAGTTGGCTTGTAGAGTCAACTCTATCTGCTGCAAAGACAGCTTCACCCCGGCTCCCACAGCACGGAGCCCCAGTGGGCTCCACCCCGGCTGGCCGGCCAGGGGGCTGCCTCACCAAGAAGGATGACCCTGTGGTTGGGGGCTGGCAGGACTCAGACTCTGGGTCAATGCTGCGACTCTGACACAAGGCTCTGCAAGTAACCAGGCCACTGGCCTCCTCCTCCCAACTCAAACATCAATTTCTACCAAAATCTCCCAGACAGGGATGGCAGCACTTTCAGAAATGGATTCCTTCAGGCTTGAGTCACTTCCATGCTATATTTTCAATGTGCTGACTTATTTGTTTCATGGGCCTGGGTTTATGGGGGCCCCACCGTATCATTTACCAGGAAAGTGCCTGCCAACTGCACCAATAACCCTTCCCAATGGAAAAGTTAAATTGTATGGCAAAGACAGCAGCAGAGCAGCTCAGCAGATGGGATGACAGTGACAGTGGTTCCTGTGTTCTTCCAGAAGACCCTTGCCACCATCCAAGAGACAGGCAGGGACAGGGAGTCCCACCACCACAGGGACCACCCAGCCTCCATGGGCTCCTCCGCTGCCCCTCCAGGGTGCCTCAGAACTCAGCTTGGAAAGCAATGTCCAGCACAACTAAAGGACTGTAAACCTGCCTCGTGACTCACAGAAATTGTGGCCTTGGTGAGATGATCTGTTTCTTGTACAGGGGACAGCACCCAAAGAGACAGACATACACCACCAACCCCTGTGTACAATGTGCTGGGCTTAAAGGTGTGAGCCCCCAGGCCTGGCTTGTACCTGTGCTTGTTTTCAGAATTCTCTCCATGTGTATCTGCCCTTTCCAAACAAACATAATAAAATTGGGGGTTACTTTCAAAGTTGGTTTTGGTGATAATATCAGGCCCCTTACCATTTCCATGTGCCTGTCATGCACCACGCACTATGGTAGGCCCTTTATAGAGAGCATATTGTTGACTTGAAAGCTCACATGCATTCTGCAAAGTGGCTATGCAAAGCCCCATTTTACAGATTAGAGTTGAGGCCCGGAGTCATTAAGTTACCCAAGGGCCACACAAGAAGCAAGCAGTGAACACAGAAAACAAAACCAGGGCCAGATGAGTCCAAACTCCCTACTCCTCCCCTTCTAACTTTGGTTTACTGTCCAGCTAACGGGAAGGACAGTGCATGCCAAAGGCACCCTATGGTGGCAAAGCGCCCTCTCCTAGCCCCAGTCCTGCTCAGCTGTGGCCACAGAGCCCTTCACCTGGAAGGAAGTCCTGGCTGAGGAAGGAAGGTCTAACGGCTTCCACCCAAGCCCATCTGGGACCTGGAAGGGGCCCTGCTGTGCTGCCACAGCCAGTGAAGCCACCTTGCCTAACACATCACTCCTGTCCCTAATCTCCTCCATTTATAATACTGGGCTGTTGCCTTGGCTTATCTGTTGGGCCTCAACTTTTGCCTGGACCCCATTCTCTCTGGTTGGAGTCCTGACACCATCAGCCCAATTTTTCCTCAATTACAGTAGAGACTGAGCAAATAGGGTCTGAAGTTAGACTTTCTGACTCCACTGCGTACAAGTAGCTTTATGGCCTGGGTAAGTCATTTTACTTCTCTACTAAGATTTGGTTTCCATACTTGTAAAATGGAGATAACAAAACCAACCCATCTGGGTGCCCATCCCCATGTGATTTTGAGGAGTCACATGAGATAATGCATTCAGTGTTCAGGGCAGAGCTGGCACAGGGAAATGCACGTATGTTACTGACTGACATATTCAGTCTCTGACATATTCAGACTGACATACTCCTCTCCCTTCCTTTAGACAGTATCATCTGTCACCTGTTACTCTCAGATAACAACACTAGCCTGGATCACACCTGAATTCACTGTGCTGCTTCAGGCACGGGGTACACACGTACTTGTGAGGATCCGGTGCTTCACCCCAGTTCCGCCTGCAGCCAGCTGCTTCCCTTCTCCCGCCAGAAACACTGCTTGCAGCCAAGTTGCCGCAACATAGGAAAGCTCACAAGAAAATGGGGTTTGGTATAAAAGAGGCTTGACTCTACTCCTATCCAAGAGATTCATCTATGAATCAAAAGCATCTGAGTAATTTCTTCCTAGCACTTAACACCAGGTGGAATATTTTTTCATTGACCAGTTGTCTGTATCCCTCACTAGAATGTAAGTTTTACTGGGGCAAGGACTTCAATCTTATTCACTGCGGGATTCTCAGTGCCTGTAGCTGTGCCTGACACACAGTAAATGCTTAATATATTTGGGAGGAAGGAAAGAAAGGAGGGAGGAAAGGAGAGTTTTACAACATGGAGCCTTCCAAACTCCAATCAACTTTATTTTTAAATTAATAAATTGGCAGGTAATAGGAATCTTTAGCAAAAGCACTTGTCCAGAACTAAATTTGAATGGATGCTGATGACAAGTTTCACGTGTGGTTCCAACCCAGCACTCTCAGATACGAACCATGGTGTGGTAGGAAAGCACTGAACAAAGAGAACCGGAGCTGTCATGAAAGCCCTGGCATTTTTATTAACATATGACCTCAAGGAGCCACAGCAATGGTGGAAAGAGTGAGAACTAAGAGACCCGGGTTCTAGCCTCTGCTCTGCTGTGAGCTGGCCACGGAACCTTAGGCAACGACCAAGATGGTTCATTTGTCAAACACAGTAGATGAGCTGCACGGAGACAGACCACCCTTGAAGATCTGTGACAGGACTTCTGAAAGCCAGTATGCCAGGTACTAACCAGCCCCAGAAAAACATATATTTAAACTGGAACTAAAACACTGGCACTGCTTGTCCTACAGTGAAAAGCATCTGGGACTTGATATGGTCAACTGACTTCACCCAAGCAGGCACCGTTTTTGCCTTTTGGAACAACTCGCAAGTTGGGCCATAGTTTTGGCCGTATTTCCATCAGCCCTGTTTCTTTTGATGAAAGACAATCTGCTCTGGAATAGTAACATTTTCGTTGTCATGGGAAATGAGAAGTGTGGAATAATGCATGGTGTGCCCATAGAGTTGGACCACAGCAGCCACCCAAAAGTGCATGAGTCATGACCTGGCACCACCACTGATCCCATCTCATACCCACGCCATCTCTCTGCCTCTGCCCTAACATCCTCAAACAACCACACGGTCCCATTCACCACTCCCTGAACATGCATGTGCATTCCTCCACTTAAACATCTTCCCCATTGAGGGCTGCTGGGTAAAATAGAGAAAGGCTAGTTCAATCTGAATTTTAGATATACAATGAATAACATTTTAGTATGAATACTTCCTAAAGGTTACATGGGTCATGTGTGTTTTTTTTTTCCTCAATGAGATGGAGTCCAGCTCTGTCACCCAGGCTGGAGTGCAGTGGTGTGATCTCAGCTCACTACAACCTCCGCTTCCCGGGTTCAAGCGATCTTCTTCCCTCAGCCTCCCCAGTAGCTGGGACTACAGGTGCATGCCACCATGCCTGGCTAATTTTTGTATTTTTAGTAGAGACAAGAGTTTCATCATGTTGGCCAGGCTGGTCTTGAACTCCTGACCTCACGTGATCTACCCATCTCAAGCTCCCAAGGTGCTGGGATTACGGGCATGAGCCACTGCGCCTGGCCAGGTCATATATTTTTTTTCTTTTTTCTTTTTATTTTGAGATGGAGTCTCGCTCTGTCGCCCAGGCTGGAGTGCAGTGGCACGATCTCGGCTCACCGCAAGCTCTGCCTCCCAGGTTCATGCCATTCTCCTGCCTCAGCCTTCTAAGTAGCTATGATTACAGGCACGTGCCACCACGCCCAGCTAATTTTTGTGTTTTCAGTAGAGAAGGGGTTTCACCATGTTAGCCAGGATGGTCTCGATCTCCTGACCTCATGATCCGCCTGCCTCAGCCTCCCAAAGTGCTAGGATTACAGGCGTGCGCCACCGCGCCTGGCCAGGTCATGTATTTTTATTTGCTAAATCTGACAGCCAATCCCCACTGCTCTCTTAAATCTTACTGATCCTTCAGGGCCTGGCCCAAACTCCAACTTCTTTATCAAGATGTCAAATTCTTCAGAATTCCTGCAGTAACACTAATATTGACTGAATCCTAAATGCTTTGAGGATGGCTGTTCTAATACTGTCAATGGCTTTCACCTTACTCCTTCCTCACCACTTAGCATTTTTCACTGTGAAGTGACTCTACACCTACAGAGGCCAAGACAGGCCCTTCAGTCTCAGCGCAGCATCACGCCCGCGGCAGCAGGGATCGTTCAATGCATGCTGATTCTATGTAAGTGGATATTAATCCTGTGGTCTGAGGTCATATTACAGAACCAGAATAAAAACAGTGTATCTCGGTAATCTAACCAGTCCCTACGCTCATCTGAACCCCGGCCCCCGCCCCCTACTCATGTCGAGTGCTTAGAGCAGTGGAAGAAATCACATTAAGTGTCACGGGCCATGGGTTTGTACAGCGATTTAAATGAAACGACAGGTCCAAACAAAGCCGAGAGTTCACTTTGGGGTGCATGTGGCACCGGCTCTGTCGCCTCCAAAGCCAGGGAGGGCCTCTGAGGAGGAGGAGTGGTGCCGACATGCAGCAGCCGGATGGTTTCTGTCTAAACCACCCATCTGAACTGCCTGACAGCCTTGGAGGGGGACGTTCAGATAACACCAAAGGTGTCAGACCAATCCAGGCTGTTGGGGGGATTTAAACATAATTCCCAGTGACTTGGAATAATAAACACTACACTGGTCAGGACGGTGCCTGCCGTCTTTCTGGCGGGGAGTTCAGGGCTCCACCACTTCCTCTGCTGCCACAGGAGTGTGCCCACCCTGGGGAGCAGGAGCCGCAAGTCCTTCACCACCGAGACTTTCGCCGGGCTCAGCGGTACCCGGGGGCCACTGGAAAGATGGGTAGGGAGTGGGTAAAGTGAACCAGGGCAGGGAGAAGAAAAACCCCCAGAAGGTAGAAGGTAAGGGAGAGACTAGGACGCTATTAGCAGTGGCCTCAGGTGACACCTGAATAATAATCTGTAGAAGGACCAGGTAATCGTAACAGCCCTGTCCTGCAAGGTGGGCACTATGCTAGCCGCTCTCCCTGCCCTGCCCCATGATCCTGAAAACTGCTCTCCACGCAGACATGCGCTCCCGTCCTTGTTTTAAAGAAAGGGAAAAAAGGGCCTTAGAGAAATAACTTGACCAGAGCCACGCAGCTAGGGGCCAATGTCCGAGGAAGGACATGCAGACCCAGCACGGTTAGGTTGAAAAAGAAACGAAAGACATTCTTGCTTTTGCCCAAACTGAACCCTTTTTTTTTTTTTTTTTTTTCTTTTTCTCAAATCACCCAACCCAACAGCTGATCACACGAAGAGATACAAATCAGAAGTTTCCGGCCACAAGTGAGGTTCGTGTTTATGCCGCCATATGGTTCTACTTTTGCCTCTTCCTCTTCTCCATTAGTTATTAATGTTGAAAAAAATTGTTCAACCAGAAAAAGAAACTTGAGATGAACCCTTAAAAAAAGCACAAAAGCCAGACCAGCTCAGACCCACGGAGTCTAACCCACGGCGCCCTTGTCTTTAAGAAGTGCACCCTTGTACCTCAGTTTTTTAAAAAATGGCCAAATGAACACATTCCATCTTTTGATCTGCCTGTTGGCCGAGAGCCCACCACCAGCGAGATAGGAATCAAAAACAGACTCTGCGTACTCGGGTGTGCTCAGAGGAAACCACCACGCCAGGATGCCACAGCTGCCGACGTCCAGCAGAGGGCTCTGTGACAATTTGTTCCTTTTATTTTTGCAGAAGGCCCAAAACTCTTAAAAAGATAAAAGTGGTTTCAAGTGGCACGCACACTAGTGTCAGAAGCAGAATATACAGCGTGGCATTCGGTAAAAACACCAACCTTGAAACCAAACGGCCTCAAATCCTGGGTCGGTCACTTGCTGGCTGAGCATAACCTTCCCAAGTCTCTCGAATTTGGGGTTACGACACTCATGTCAAGGAGAAATTCATGCTGTTCCATAAACCCCGAATGCCAGCTCCAGGCCCGTGTCAGGTGCAAGGGCTCAGCACGGGAAGAGATGGACATGGGCGGCCCTGCTCTCACAGCAAAGTCCAGCCACAGAGGCGTCCCCAAGAGGTAAGGGTAGGCTGGGCGCGGTGGCTCACGCCTGTGAACCCAGCACTTTGGGAGGCTGAGGAGGGTGGATCACTTGAGTTCAGGAGTTCGAGACCAGCCTGGCCAATATGACAAAACGCTGTCTCTACTAAAAAAAATACAAAAATTAGCCAGGTGTGGTGATGTGTGCCTGTAGTCCCAGCTACTCAGGAGGCTGAGGCAGGAGAATCGCCTGAACCTGGGAGGTGGAGGTTGCAGTGAGTTGACATTGTGCCACTGCACTGTAGCCTGAGCAACACAGAGAGACTCTGTCTCAAGAAAAAAAAAAGAGGCAAAGGTAGAAAGCAAACCTGCAGGACACGACGGAAGTAGGATGCCACGGGGGGAGTCAGCAGTCTACGAGGTGGGACAGAGATGACATGTGAATAATGACCAATGAGCCAGCCCTCCAAGACTGCAGGGAAAAATAACAGGGGCATCCCAAGCAGAGGGAAGAGCCAGCATGAGGCTCTGCTGCAGAGGCCACTGAGGCAAGTGCAAGAACAGAGAGGAGCAAAGCGCGGCTGGAGTGAGACCCAGCAAGGGAGCACCTCCTGGTCCACTCTAAGTGCAAGGGCAGGCCCTGGCACACTGCTTTTCTTAAGAATTAAAAAAAAAAGGCCAGGTGTGGTGGCTCACTTGAGCTCAGGAGTTCGAGCCCAGCCTGGGCAACATAGCCAGACCTTGTCTCTACTAAAATAATAATAATAATAAAAATTGCCAGGCACGGTGATGTGTGCCTGTAGTCCCAGCTACTCAGGATGCTAAGGTAGGAGGATTGTTTGAACCTGGGAGGTCGAGGCTGCAGAGAGCCATGTTTGCACCACAGTACTCCAGCCTGAGTGACAGAATAAGAACCTGACTCAAGAAAAAAAAGTGTTTACTTACGTATAATAGGTAATACATTCATATAGGTCAGAATTCAAAAAGGTACAGAGCACAAGCTGGGAAAGGCCTCCCAGTGAGGGCCTGCAGGCTAGCTGCCCTCACCTAGGGAGATGGCCTCCAGGTCAGGACCCCTTCAGTGGGGCTCCCTTCACCGGTCTGTCTAGGTGGACACGTGGCCTCCACCAGCCTATGAGAGATGCAGGGATCCCCACCCCACCACCACTGCTCAGTGTGGAGAAGACATAAGCCCGCTCCCCAACTCCCCAAGGGCAGCTTCGTTACAGGGACCTCAGTTTGCCATTAGGAACACTGAGCCACGGAAGCACAGCTTCGTGTAGCTGAGGCTAGAGCTTCCAATCCATTTTGCCTAATGGCTCTCTAAGCATGGCCACCCCTGCAATGAGAAGGCACCTTCACAGGTGGCAGCTTTGCACCGGGCCTGAAAGTCACACCCAGGTGGTCAAGCTTGTTTTGGATGGGAAGCAGCTGTGCTCCCGGAGACTCAGGCAAGTGGTGCCCCTGAGTAACCAGAGGGTAGCCCCACAGGCTCCTGCTCACTCCAGGAAGCATCAAAACATCTCTCCTTAGGATAACAGCCACGTGAGCTAGGGTATGGCTCACCTATTCAGAGACAGGACTGAGGGCACCCTCACCTGCGGATAAGAAAACACAAGCACGGGGGAGCTGCTGGTCCCGGCTGTCCCAGCCAACATGAGGTGGAGAGGAACGAGAATCTCAATTTGAGACTGACCCAGCTCTTCCAAAGACCAAGCCCCACCAGGTCAACAAGGCGAGCTACCCCCATTCCCAGTCAAGCTCAGGGGACAGGGGAGGAAAAAAGAACAGAATCAGGGGAACTATGGGACTGTGAGGACCAAAGCTTTCTCCCCCAAGGGCCCAGTCACGGCAGACCCAAGGTGCCCAGGGTCGCCTGGGAAGGGCTGCAGGGCTGGGCTCTCCTGCCGCCTCACCACAGCCCACAGCAGATCCAACATGTGACCTTTCCACTCTGGGCCTCGGGGACTCCTGGAGTATGGGCAGGGGCTCAGTGCCTACCACCCAGCAGAGCCTGGTGAGAAACGGGCCCCTCGCCTGCCAGGGCCACACACAAGGGGGACTCTTCCAGTTCCAGCCCCCCTCCTCTTTAAGCAGTCCCTTGGCGCTGAGGGCCTTATTTTTTTGTTGTTTTGTTTTTGAGATGGAGTCTCACTCCGTTGCCCAGGCTGGAGTGCAGTGGCGCGATCTCGGCTCACTGCAACCTCCGCCTGCCAGGTTTAAGCGATTCTCCTGCCTCAGCCTCACGAGTAGCTGGGATTATAAGTGTGCACCACCATGCCCAGCTAGTTTTTATATTTTTAATAGAGATGGGGTTTCACCATGTTGGCCAGGCTGGTCTCAGGTGATCCGTCCGCCTTGGCCTCCCAAACTGCTGGGATTACAGGCATGAATCACCTTGCCTGGCCAAGAGCCATATTCTTTAAGTGCAAGCACAGCCTGCTTTCTTCCTGTGAAGGTTGTAAGTTGTAAGATGCACCAGTAATTATAACATCACTAAGTGTACACATTAAGTTTAAGAAGTAATTTCCCAATTTTGGCAACATTAAAACGTGAGTGATAGCTGGGCACAGTGGCTCATACCTGTAATCCCAGCACTTTGGGAGGCTGAGGTGGGCGGATCACCTGAGGTCAGGAGTTCAAGACCAACCTGGCCAACATAGTGAAACCCCGTTTCTACTAAAAATACAAAAATTAGCCGGGTGTGGTGGCGCATGCCTGTAATCTCAGCTACTTGGGAGGCTGAAGCAGAATTGCTTGAACCCGGGAGGCGTAGGTTGCAGCGAGCTGAGATTGTGCCACAGCACTTCAGTTTGGGTGACAGAGAAAGACTCTGTCTCAAAATACAAAACAAAACAAAACAAATTAAAAAAAAAAACAAAAAAAGTGAGCAAGTCACGCACCACAGAGTTGAGATAATGGTACATGCAGCACATCTGGTGGCGTAACACAGACGTTTCCGACTTAAGATTTGTTTGACTTTGCGATGGTATTCAGTAGAAGCTGTAGTCTGAATTTTGATCTTTTCCTGGGCTAGCAATGCACGGTCCAATCCTCCCTCATGACGCAGGGAGACAGCAGCTCCCGCAGCTCCCCACCAGCCCCGTGATCACAAAGGTGAGTGATGACACTCTACAGCCACTGCGCGCCAGGTGCTTTCACCAAACTGTAGGCATGTTCTGAGCACGTTTAGGGTCAGCCAGCTGAAGCCATGATGCTTGGCAGGTTAGGGGGATTAAAAGCATTTTCTACTTCCAATGGGTTTTCCAGCATGTAACCCCTTCGAAGGTGCAGCAGCATCTGTACCCGCTCATATGAGGCACACGACTCGAGCCGGGGGTTGTGGTTGGTTACCTAGGGTTTAATGTAACTGAGGCTGGCCAAGAGGGCCAACATTAGGAAATCATTTTTGACCAACAAATGATTTATTCTACTTAGAAATGAGTCTTCCACATGCCATTAACAACAAAGAGTTTTTTCAGGAAATGGTAAGTCCCCTCCATCTCTTTCTTTTCTCAGACAGGTGCCCTGACCATCCGGAGATAAATAATAAACAAAAGCAGGCCTCCTGGGCTCACTTGCAGCCATTCATACTCCAGACCCCAAAGCTTTGCCCTCTGGAAGCTCGCAGCCTGGAAGGGGCCACAACAGTTTCCTAAAGAAAGGGTCAGGAAGGGGCAGAACAAAGAAGACAAATGGAAAGGAGAAATGAAAATCACTATATTTGGGTCAACCACAGTCACACACAAGGCTCCTGTTGTCCACATGTAACCTTAAGCTTCCCTGAAGGGGATGAACCAAGCCCTCGGAGCCTAATTAAATTAACCGTTTCCTGGCCAGGCGCACAACCCATCACCTGTGTGCAGAGAAGCCAGGGTCTCTCTAAGCTGCCTGGCTGCTTTTAATTAAGGACTCATCCCTGAGAGATGAAGCACAATATACACAACCACCTTCGAGTCCCCAGAATGGAAGTGATCTTGGACTCAATGCTGAGAACTGCCTGCAGTCCCCCAGCCGGCAGGAGAAGCTGCCACCTACAGCCAGGTGGTGGCCTCGGGCTAAGGAGCACAGGGAGGCTCCCCCGCACCCCTGCCCTCCACCCAACGTCCTGCACGTCTATCCAGACCACCTTCCTTCCCCGCACTCCACCTAAGTCATCCTTCAGGGTCTGATTTGGCCACATCTGCCTCTTCCACTGCAACCTCCCAAAGCTGCGTCGGCAGAGACCCTATGCTCCTGCATCCTGTGCAGGATGCAGTGTTGAGCCTCACAGGTTTGTGATGTGCATGTCTCTCCCCAGGGCAGGGATGAGCTGTCTGGACTGCCTTGTGCCTGGCTTGATGCTGGCAGGACTTCTGAAGTGCTGGTGGGATGGCGGAAAACGAGGGCCGCTCAGGTCAGGTTCTGATCTTTTGAAGCCCAAGCCTGCCTTGGTGGGAAGCAAGTTCTCAGCACTTCAGCACCTCCCTTAGAGGAGGGACTACGGGGTCTTTGGTGGGTAGGAGAGAGACCGACCCTTGACGTGGATGGCATTTCATCCTCATGACTGCCAGCCCTGAGTTGGATGAAGGTGTGCACCCACGGGGCGTGGGCTGCCGCCTGCTGTAGGGCTGCCGCCAGCTGTGGCACTGATGCTGCCCCTTGTACCCTACACAGCCTCCTCCTAAAGCCAGACCTACAGCCTTCCCAGCATGAAGGCAAGCACGGGGTAGCTGCTGTTCTCTTCTGGGACGGTCCTCAGTCCTTGGTCTGGCTTTCTTAGTCCACATTTTTATTAGGATTATTGGCCAGATGCAGTGGCTCATGCCTGCAATCCCAGCACTTTGGGAGGCCGAGGCAGGCGGATCACTTGAGGCCAGGAGTTCAAGACCAGCCTGACCAACATGGTGAAACCCCCATCCCTACTAAAAATACAACTCCCCCTCCAAAAAAAATTAGCCAGGCATTGTGGCGAGCACCTGTAATTCCAGCTACTTAGGAGGCTTAAGGGAGGAGAATCGCTTGAACCTGGGAGGTGGAGGGTACAGTGAGCCGAGATGGCGCCACTGCACTCCAACCTGGGCAACAGAGAGAGAGACTCCATCTCAAAAAATAAAAAAAAGTGATTATCACATTGGTTTGTATTCTTCTGTCACCTGAAATCTTTTTGGGAAAAGACCAGGTAAAAATATACAAACATAACTCATATATAAGATGATTTTTCTCCAAAGACACTGTAATTTCACAGAGGGATTCCATCCTCTGGTTTAAGTGAAAAGATACATAGTGAAACCAATTTTTTGTTCTCGTCAACATTTTAATGAAACAACATTATTCAAGGGCTTGCTGTAGGTCATAATTCCCAAGAACCTAAGGACGACGTTAAGTGAGGACTCACTGAACTATCAAAGTTATGAAAGGAATAACAGCAAAGATGTTTAAGTCTTACCACGTAAGAGGCATGTAACACACATCCTCATTTTATCATCACAGCAACCCTGTAGGAGGCAGGGGTGTTATTATCCCACATTATTGTTTACAGGTGAAAAAAAGAGGCACAGGTAGGTTAAGCAACTTGGCTACAGTCACACAGCAGGTAACTCAATGAAAGCCATGCAATCCCACCCTAAGGTCATGGGGACTCTAGAATGATGCCTGGTGAGAAACCTAGCGGGCAAAATACTTCAGCTGAAAGAGTCACCAGCTGGATGGTGGCAGAGAGAAGTACTTGGCAAGATGGGGT